CACAGTAACACTGGATCAGTAACTCCCTGTGCATGTACGATCGAAATAAATTGAAAGCCACGTAGTATATTATGATTATAAATGAAACAAATGCACAGCTTTATTCTTTCTGCTCATGAAAAAGTGCGAAAACGCTTGTTCTAAGTTCAAAACATTCCCCCACGCTCGGAATATTTGAAAATAAGGACAAACCAGAAAAGAGGTGCCCGATAAAAACTGCCCGACGTATAATAAAAATATACCTTTCACAGCCCACGTACTTTATTCTCTACGTTTCAAATGTTTTCTAACACCCGTAAAAAACAAAAAACAAAAAAAAAGACATATAGTGACAGGACGGGTGTATTAACAATATATAAGGACCACCGGAATGCTGGCGGACCTTGAGCACATTCCACAATCCTTTCAATTGTTATGTTGCTTAGAATCAGCGCTCGTTTTTACCTGCTTGTTATGGAACAGAACTTCGGGCCAGAAATATTGCGATTTTTAACGTTGTTCACTGGTAAAGAAAACTGCCGTAACTGAAACTATTACACTTTTAGAACGTTAACAGAGAAACATACTATTTGGTAAGACCGAAATAACAAAATTTATCCGTGTTATTTTCCGGCCAAGAGACGAAATGCACGCGCGTTTTCCCATAGAAGTGCACAGGAGCACCGCAAGCGTAGACTGGCTGCTGTCTGCTTCAAACTGCCTCCCGAAAGTCCCATATACACTAGCGCCAGTTGAATCTCTAGCGTGCATAATAATAACTTTATGGGCTACGCCAACCCCACTCCGTTTACTTTAGGGCCGGGCGCAGCTGATGCTACAGGATCCGATAGAGCGAATCAGACAGTTCCCAAATTTCATCGTCACGGCGCTCGGTTTCTTTGTGCGCTCATTACATCAATTACATCTCCCTCACCAATCACGTGCAGGAAAAAAAAAAAGCACAGGATCACGGCGCATTTGCTGTACGTGATAGGTTTAGTCAATGCATAGCTGCGTCTATATTTAAAAAGCCTGACTGTTAGACCACGGAGCCATATAGAGTGCCCGGTCGCAGATTTGGAGGGCGAGGATCTGGTAGCACAGAGCATTTCTCGGGGAAACCAGTATTCAGCGCACAGCTTTTGCAGTTATGAGAAACCCGAAACATGGTTTTCAAATCCGACGAGAAAAGAAGCGGTAGCGCGAGGAACGCGAGCGGCCATTCCATCGCTCAAGAGAAGTGTGTTTCGGCGTCTCGCCGCAGCGGGGCGCCCGTCACCTGGCCCTCCTCTCATCCGTTGTCTGCCGCTGTACCTTTTCAATTTCGGCGGCCGCGTCTCGTGGCGATCTGCCAGGTTTTGTCAGTATAGAGGAGGATAAGGTCAATGATAAGTGCGTAACGAACGCACAAAAGCGACGATCGCGTGACGATCGATGCATGTTTTGGCGCTGCTTGACTGATACCACCGGAATGAATACCATCAGCTGTGGCCGGATTCAAAGTTAGGCGAAATATCCCCTGCTCTAAAACACATACACACACATACACACACACACGCCCGGATGCATCCGAACCGGCGCTCCGCGAAATTCGAAAATCTTGCAGCTTCGCGTTTCCTAAGAGGCGGGTGCCCACGTGCAGAGCGGGCGACGGGACAGCTGCGGAAACCGCTTGCCGCAAAGTTCAGTTCCGCCGCCGAGAAACTTTGAATTGGACCATCTCGGCGCGCTGACACCGAGCTCGTTGGAGCCGTACCCTCGTCCACTTTCTTTTCTTCTCGCCAACGCGGTTCCAAATGTAATTCTTCGCCATCTTTATCTTGCTGCCACAGCGTCCGGGCTGGCACTGACGGGACGAGATAAATGGCTCCAACCATCGAGCTTTAGTTTTGTCTCCTCTTTTCTCGATTTTGTTCTCGCGCTGCCTTTTGATTACGGTGGACCACAGCCTACGCTACGAGCCACTCCGAGCCAATCCAGCTCTGTAAACCCATCACGTGATCGAATATTCACATGTTACAGAAAAAAAAAAGTGTATGCGTTGTTTTTATTCTCAGTCTCGGCGTTTTGTTATCATGCTAAACACTCGTTACTGCCTGAAGGAATAACTAAGGCATTACTCGCTACTGAGATTAAAGAGAGACGCGTTGATTCAGTTCAAATGTAACACCTTTCTTGCTTGTCATGCCGAGTGCGACGTTTTTCTGACGCAGTGTTTGCCTTCCAATATCTTGAGTCGTTATCCTGAACACACTGAATTTCCCACACCATGCTACACGTTGATTTTAAGAATCACCTAAGGATTAGCATTGCTGCGGAAGGAAGCATCTGTTATGCCTGTGCGAAGAAAAAATATACGTAACAATATAATATATGTTAACCCTCAGATTTACTGGCTAGTTGCCGAGGTTAGGATTTCTTTGTGTCTTAGGCCGTCTTCAGCGCATTACATTCTTTTAGAGTCTACCTTGCGTTCTTTCGACGGAGAAATCACACGCGCGAACCTGGGTGGAAACCAAGTTGGGTAACTTGTGTCGAACAGGTTATTATCCAGAAAGAACTAAATGCGGTTAATTGTTATTTTTAAAAAGTAACAAATATACGTTGCTCGTTTCTTCTCTGGTAAATAAACAACTAAACTGTTACTTCGTTACCAAAAAGAAAAGAAAAAAAGCTGAATGCAAAAAGGCGTTTTTTCTAACGTGTTACATGCACGTCTGAACGTGCTTAGGAGAGAATGCGCTGATGTACGCTTTTCGAAGGTCACGTGACACTGGCACGTCTTTGGATTGGCTGGAATGGCGCGTATAGCTTCCGTTGCGGTCCATCTTAAGGCGCTACGGCGCTTGGCTTCTGCCGAGCCATCGAATGAACGAGCACTGGATGAGTGCCGCTTGAATTGTCTGGCCCTGTGACAATGGCTTCTCGTTGGCCTGTTCCTGGGTCTGTTCTTTGTTTCGGTTTTTTTTTTCTTCGCTCCAGTTCACTGAGACGGAGATGAGAGATAAAAGAAACACGGCAAAAATATTTTAAGCAGCAATACAAAGCTGGGGCTCGAGAATTCCCTTGTCTTTTTGGACAGTCGAAATTTAGAGCTTTATCCGTAGAAGTTTCAAAAAGGAGCTTCCAATATAGATATTTTTTTTTTATTCTAAGTTTTTTCCTTTTTTTTGTATGTGGGAGCACTTAAGGCTGTTCACGCCGGTCGTTTCCTAAGTTGCTGTCAATCAGGCAGATGAACGGAGAAAGAAATATCCGATAATGGTTTTCAACATCGACCTAACGCGCACTTTTTATATATCCAACTCCAATGTCCCATTTTACAATATGTGGAAGGTTTGAAACCTGAACATAGGAGTTTCAAAAAGTTTGTCTGCGGAAGAAAAAATAAATAAAAGGGCCATGGGGACATTATGTGGGCGGCTGATCTTTGCGATTAGTGGGCGAAATAACTACAATTCGCTAATTAACTTTTTAATTCGTGAAACTAGACATATGGTTCCAATTAGAAACTGACTTAGCGTCATCGAAAAACACTAAATCAACTCTTTTTAGAACGACTTGAAGCTCGTGGGAAAGTCGGGGGCGCGCCAGAGTTACCACTCGTGAAGCAGACGCAAAGCTAGCAGTGGCAAAACGCGAATGATCAGATCATGACCGCGTTCCGCCACTGCTAGCTTTGCGCCTGCTTCACGAGTGGTAACTTCGGCGCGCCCCTGAGTTTCCGCTCTAAAACGAAAGTAATTAATGTTATGAAGTAAAGCTGAACCCTTTCACGCTCGTCGCCTTACATGTACGGCGGCGATTGTGAATTTGAAGATCCCACCCTAAGCGTGAAACCGCCCGCATCGCTGGAGCTGTTGCTCTTGTTAAATCGTTCGCAAAATATAAACGTTCTACTTGTACGATATTTCGATTCGACGGAATCATTGATAGTTTTGAAATTAGACGCTTCGCGCATGTAATACGTGCGAGATGGTCGCTTCCCGTGTCTGCTGCTCTGCCGGTAGTCACACAAACTGGAGCGTCGGCTCTTCCGATTCATACTTTTAACGCTTCTCAGAAATTAATTCGAGGACCAGAGCTTTCGACATCTTGTAAACCCTGAGATGGGAAACGATAAAAAATTGAGATTTTGTTGTGTTCGTCCGTTTTTTTATCGTTCCCCATCTCAGGGTTTACAAGATGTCGATTGATTACCAGCTCGCCTGCACTCTCTCACTGCTTACAGAGCTTTCCTTGAAAGTTATGTAAAGTACCTCCGGTTTGGAATCTGAAACCGCTGGAATGTCGGCAAGCAGACTTTTCAGAATCGAACCTAATGAAAGAAGGGTGACAATTTTTCGCCTTTAATATTTACATTCGATGCTTGTATACCTGAAAAGCTTGCGAGCGCTGTGAGTGCTCCGGCTAAGTAAATAAAGAAAAGAACAACTGCGCCTTCATTTTTTATTTATACTATTCATTTGGAAACCTAACAACTAAAGAACATCTCTTAGAAGAAAAAAAAAAACAAAAAAAAAACAAAAAAAAAACTGGCCCGTCAAAGAGTTAATTAAGACAGTGCGTGAACAATCTCAAGATCCATAGAGGGCTAATGAGATTGCAGCCCCCCTCCTTTCCCCTACCCCTATTAAAGGCAATCAGGAACCAATGCGAGAGCAAGGAACACCGCCCTCATTAGCCGTACACTGCATTTTTCTTGTCCGTTATTCCACACCAAAACGAATAATTGCACCTTCATGATACGAGCGGGTTGGTGACCTCGACTACGAAAGAACGAAAGATAATATGGTAAAAGTAACATTCTTTTCAGAGAAAAAAGCATAGGGCGTAAAGGGAAATGGACGCTACAGTCTCCTTCACCTTTATAAGATTAACTCGGTTGTCAAACTTGCGACGAAGCACGAACCCCCTCTCTCCTCGAACGTTCGTGACGAGTTGATTAAAGCGCCACGCTAATTGCATACTGCGGCGCATCCTCCTAACCGCAGTTCAGACAGATGCCGCAGCATACGACAATGGTGCCGCTTCAGTCGACTGTTGAGGAACATAGAGGTTGGGGAGGGGGTCCTGCAAGCAAGGAGTTCGTCAACTGACAGCTTGTCATAGACATTATCACCGGAAGTGCTAAAAAAAGCCGCCATCATCGACCTCCTTGTGTCTTACTGAGATGCCGATGCGCCGAGATTGGCGATGTCGAGTTAAGGAAAAAACACTCCGTTCGTAACAAGAACAATCGTTTCTTGTATTTCGACAGCGGAAGCCCAGCTGCTCACAGCCCTGGAGGGCAGCCAGGTCCAGCTAGCGTGCGACATCACCGCCCCGGGACCCGGCGACTTCCCCGTCCGAATCCGCTGGTTCAAGGACTCCGGGCCGAACCCGGTGTACAGCGTCGAGGTGAACCCCAAGACGGGCAGCCTGTCGCAGATCCGCCAGAGCGCCCAGCTGACCAGCCTCCAAGGACGTGCCTACTTCTCGGTCATCCAGAGTCCGGCCGTGCTCAGCGTGGACCGGTTGAGGTACTCGGACAACGGCACCTACGTGTGCGCCGTGGACTTCAAGAAGGACTGGACGAGGAGGCTCACCACTCACCTCGTAGTCATCGGTGAGTGAATGCGAGAACTTTGGAAGCCACGGTAATGCCGCTCGCGCATCGTACAAAAGATATGGTGTTAGCTGCGGACACGACATACTGATCGTGTTCGATGCGTGTGTTCTTCTTTCCTATGTATGCATCAAGCATGCTTGTAGACAGTTCTTGTACGACCGATGCGATAGGACTGTCATACAATGAAGAAAAACCTCTCCGACAGTGCTTGCAGACCATGTTTTTGTATGCTGTATAAGCAGTGTAACCGCGGCTTGATACAACATACAAAAAAACAGCATGCAGACTCTGTCTGAGGCATTTTTCTTCGTTGTATACTAATCCTGCCACATTGGTCATAAAAAAAAACTGTTTGCAAACATGTTTTAAGCATATATCAGTCTGTATAGACCGCTTTCCAAAGTTACGTGCCGATTATTCGAAGGTCGGAACGTTCACAATGGTGGAACAACTGACATCGTGGAACGTGCGAGTCATTCCATAAGATAAGGAACGTTGGAGGTTGGCCAACGCTAGGAGCTGACGATCCAATCAAAAAGCGTCGAAAGTACAACGTCACTGTGTTCGTTACCTTATTCCGTGTGTGTGTTTTGAATTCAACAAAACGCATAAAGGATACCGTGACGTTGCGGTTTTAGTCCGCCATTGTAGAGGGAGTCCACAGCTTCCAACAGAGGGGGCAGTCTTTCAAAAAGGCTCTATCAAACGAACATGCTTCGACCATGGGGGCCTCTCCCATGGTCGAGGCATCACTCAACAGATAATTTTATCATAAGGTTTGCTGTGTGTTTTGTAGAATGGCCCCGAGTGGGTGTTGGTAAAGGCGGGCTTGCTTGTATAGTGCAGTGTGTTGGACGGTCACTTCACAACTTAAGCAACGCGAGGCGTGGCGAATTCAGAGTATCTCATAATGAGTCTGGCAGCCAATGAGGTTGTGGCAATAGCCGATAAGAGTGCAGAAGAACCAGACTTGTGCCCATCTGAAATACTCTACTCAAGATACTGTATTTCAAATACTTTTTGAAATATCTTGATATCTTGCAAATACTTTTGATCGATAGTATTTGATACTCTATTTTATTAACATTTCTGAGTATTTTGTACTCATTATCTGAAATACATTTTTGACATTTCGCCATGTTCCGACTTTTTCGGTATGGAGTGGCGTGGGCGTGGCATGAGCAAACGTGAACATTCTTTCGAGCAACCAAATCCCGTTGCTAGCTCCGATTAGCAACGGTGACTTTGATTGAGCTCGTGAAAACATCGCTTTTTTGCCGATTGTGACCCATATTTCAGCCCAAAGTTCGTACAATGAAGGTACTCCCCTCCCGTTCCTATAGGCGCCTTTTGTCTCTATAGAGTTTCTATAGAGAGTGTGTGGCCGATTGGTTACCGCGCTTGGCTCTAGCGCGGAGGCTCCGGGTTCGATTCCAGGGAGCCGACTCCTCTTTTATTTATTCTCTCAACTTGACATTCTCTTGAGTTCGAGAACCTTGTCGTCTGATCGAGTTTGCGAATGTTCTACGCGCCGAAGGTTCTACGCCGGATGTTCCAGAAACCCACGCGGGTACAAAAGATACTCGGAGTGGCGGCCCGGAGTCAGTCTCGCCCCAGCGCTCGATCCTGCTGTTTCGCCGACATCGACGCCTGCCACGCTAGCTTTTCTCTATTTGGTTTTGGGCACAAGTTCGCCCCTTTAAACGTTTAGTTTCTTCAGTTATTCGCCGCCTCATCATTTGTCATTCGTGACAATATCCGGCTCCTCATTGATGAACTGCATAAAATAGCCCTACGATACTTTTTTTTTTGTTTTGTGTTGTTGGGTGCTAATAAACCATTCTGGTAAACCAGATTTGCGCAGCTGTGTAATTGCCGTTGTTACTGATGTCGATACAAATAACGCAATGCGAAAGTATCATTGAAAGCGATGAAATTCCATTTCTAAGTTTTTGTAATGTACTCAAGATACTTTACAGTGAAAGTAACTTGAGTAGTATTTAAAATACTTTATGACGCAGGCATTTAGTAACTTAACTTAAATACTATTATCGATTATTTTGTCGAACACCGAGGAGAACCAATCACAAAGCAAAGGGGCGTGAACGTAATACGCGACGCTTTGTGATTCTTATAAGCCGACAATGACTGTAATATAATTTAAGTATACCAAGATTTCCGCTATCACTGTGCGTCGATTGTTCGTCTAGTATGAACAAGACGCGAAAGAGCTCCAATCGGAACGAAACACGCTCGCGCACCCACACGGTGTGTTTCGAGTTCAAACAAAATTAGAGTTCAACGCTGCCACCGATCGGCATTTCTCATCAGGAGCGGAATGTGGCGCCCGATTTCGGCGGAATGCCCTTTGATTAGATCGCCGAAATTCTCACGACTGGCGTTAAAAAAAAAAGGGGGGGGGGGGCGGGTACATCGATTTTAACGTGTCTTGAACCCCGTATAAAGTGGACGCTTGCAGAATGATACCGCTCCAAATCTATATTTGAGTGTGAAAATGGTAGCGCTCAGACTGCGTTCTTCGAACGCCGCTGATTGTGATATTAATGCCTTTTTTTCTTTCCTCTTAAACTCTGTTTAGAGAGCCAAGTAATCTTATTGGCGTTATTGACGAACGCAAAATTAAAGTATCATTGCGGGTGTTCTGAAAACCAAACTATGTGATTTCGAGTTTCCGTAATTGCGTCCCGCTATTCTTCGCTGCTCGCACACTCATCTTGACGTCAGTGCGAGCTTCATACTTTATATAATGCTCGTATGAACCTGCTATCAAGCGTATAGAGAAGATGGGAAAGTACACGACTCAAGAGATTTCGGACAGGCACGGCAGTAACGCCCAGCAAACTAGCAGCCCTTGGGATACAGAGAAATTAAGAATCAATCCGTTAGGCACCCAGAGAAGATAAGGCGGCATCCCTAAGCCACTTGCTAAAGGCGTCCAGTGGCATCAAAGAACACCGGAATACGGCGCGGGATGAATCTGCAAGCCCAAGACAAACCGACGACAGCAGAAGCCTGGGCTCACCCAAGAGGCGAAGAACAAGACCGAAGCGCTGTCCTGGATTCTGTGCTGGAGTTCATCAGAAAGCCGGGGATTCATTCATTTCTCTGATAGCACCAGAGTCATCCACCCCACAATAGAACCGCACAAACCCCCATCCCCTCGTCTCAGGGCACACAGCCCGTAAACGAGGATCCTCATTTTTGATGAAAAATACATGTTTTCAATCAATCAGTCAATCATTAATCAACTTGCTACCACCGTAAAAGGCAAGTATCGGTAGCGCAGCGGCAATATTAAGCTTTTTGTTGTAAAGACGTCTCGAATATAAATGTTTTCGATCGAGTTTATTTCCATGCAATAAGCTCCCGTTCAAAAGAAAGAAAGAAAAAAGCGTCTGAGTGTTTTTACCGAGAATACAGCGGCAAACTTCAAACACCCGTCACACAAAGCTGAAAAAAAGCCTGAAGATAATTGGCTCTTCCCTATTGAAAGGGCCCATAGTTAAATATGTTTTTGAATACTTTTTATGCGAAAGATTTTTGGTATCTTCAAATAGCTATTTTTGTTTTGCCGACAGATGAAAATGTATTTTTGTTGCGATTGGGGTATCAATCCGCTACAAGTAGAAACGTTATGGTCAGCTGTCATAAAAGACAATCACACTGACAAAATTCAGCCTGCTTATAGGCGCTAGAAAGAAATGCAAACGAACCACTGGACAAAAACTGGCGTTTTAGACAAGTCCACCATTTGACGCCTATGCGACTCATTTTTTTACCTATGAGGATTAGACCGGCGTTTAGGCAGAATTTTGTTTGCCTCCATCATTTTATGGAACAAGCTGACTGGGTTAATGAGTACAAGTCCCACCTTCATCAATTTGCGGAGAAATAAAACAGATTGTACTGTATCGTAGTGTACCTGTGTGTACGCGTATTTAAATGAAGGTATTAAGTACCTCAATAAATGAGGAAAAAGATCATGAAACTGGTGAAGATGATAGGAATGAGCTGTGACAAAGTTTGGCTTTGTCTGTGTTAAGTGGTAAGAGAAAGTTCGATGGAGGCCAAGCGTTTTGAAATACAGCTACCAATTATTAAACGTGAAGTTCACCTGATATTAGAAATAAAGCAGTGTAGGGTCGGTTGCCATCTGCCCCGCGATTTTGTGCAAAGTAAGTCACAGAGTGGGGGAGTATCAAGGTAGATGGTGTAGCTATTATACAAACTCCATGGAGGTGCTAGTAAAATAAAGTTTGATGATCGATTGCGGATAATGAATGAGGCGGGTGCAAAGATTTATAGCGATTCGTACATGATCAATGTTGATAAAAAATACAAAAATCAAATTGGAACACGCTCATTAAGAAATATGTTTATGAAAATAATTAAAGTAGTAGCAAAAGCAAAAGGCAAATTAATTTAAGTCCAAGTCACTTTAAACCATGGAAATAACAGTCAACACGCATGCGATTCTAGGAGAGATTTTTTATTTATTTATTTTTTTTTTGCTACTGTTTGAGATTAGAATGTGAGGACAAAAACGATCGGGGATAGGCTCCAAGAACTTGACTCACCGAGCGTGTTCAAAGGATGATGACACGCTTGAAAACTTGATTATCGAATGTCCTATCGGCATCTGCTGCTGTACCACCGCGAGGACAGCAGCAAGCTACAGCATTTTCCAGTCGTGACAGCACCAGACGAAAACTGCATAAACGAAGTACGTAAGGTGCTGCAAAAACACTAGTCAGAGTCGGGTTTCAGGCACCATGTAGGCATGATTTCTAGGCTTTATTTAAAGAAGGCTTAATCCCAGGTAGCACGACAGAGAAACGCCCTACTTGACTGAAGCTTGGTAGTCCTAGTGGCCCAACTTGGGCCTTGTCTCATTCAACATTGTCCTATATGCTTCTATTCTCTGGACTGTTTTAGGTAAGTATTATTTTTTTTCAACTGTATTGAAATTTTGAATA